TGGTCCATGTAATCTATCACCTGGGAAACTTCTTTACAAATCTCAGCATCCCCTATTTCATATTTCATTACTTACTTCTCTCAAGCTTGATTTGAAGTTACCGTGATTCCAAAATATTTCTTTAACACAGTATCAATGATAATTGTATTACAGCCAGCACACTGTCGGTATTTTAGTATAGTAAATAGTATAGTGGTGTGGTAGATAATACAGTGTCAGTAACACTATCGATATAGCAATCTAGTTGGTAGTATAACAAGAATATATTAGGGTATACGATAATTGCAACGTAGTTGTCACTACAGTGGTATCATAGGCATTATAGCGACAGTATAGTAGCATTATCGTGTGTAGTATAGACATTGTATACTAACGCAGTAAACGATACAATAACAGTGTAGGAAGCAAATAAAGGATTGTTTCCGTGCGATCGGTCGAGCATATTGGAAAGATAAGGTGAAAAAAACTGGTTTATTACGCATCCACGATTTTCCTGTGTTCGATTCCTCGAGCATTCAGAAAGCGATCTCGAAATTTATACCGTGAGACAGGCCCGTTCGCAAACGTGGAACGAGGTCGCTTACGCGGAATTCAGTGGTATTAGTCGACCCCGTTTCGTGAAATCATTAGCTGCAAAGTCTATGCTCGATTCCCGATAGAACGAGTCCTTTCCGCCAGACACAACAAACCGTCTTTATCGAGTGACCGATAAGGTTAGAATGCTCCGTACAGTACTTTCCTATCGTTGCCTGTTCATTAATCTGAACTTTGTTTCCGCTCGATGTTTTTCCGTTCACCCCGTCACGAAACAATTTTTTTCACGATGCTTGCCGTTTATAAATACAATCGGAGAGTACGCGCACTTCCTGTCAAACACTTTCCATGCCGATGCATGAATTAACACTGTAAACAACTTGAGAGCCCGGTTGAACGACCGGACAAAATGGTTACAATCGTTGGTTTTGTTGTGTACGTTTCCATGAAAATGCAGTCGCGCGCCAGAATCCTCGATGGTCAATGACTTCTACGCGGGAACCGCGGTTACACTCCGCCTAAAATTAAACGCGATGCATATTTTGCGATTAATTCCAAACGCATACCGATATCGTTAATTATTTACCTTTCAACGCAAAACTAACGTACTAACGTAACAATTATGACTTGTAAACATTCATTGATTGTGTCAAGCGTCATTACTTCGTAACAAAACTAGTTGGAGGTTAGAAAGTTACCGAGTCTGGATTCCGGCGACAGAATTAATTAACGCGTCGAGTGACAATGTAGACAGCCACGCGCGTAATTACACAGATCATAAAGAAACTGGGGAAATGTAATCGATACAGAAACAACAGTATTCCCCAGATGTATCCTCGTTCCTTTTGCGTGGCTGTTGGTATGCTGTAGAACGTGTAAAGATAAGATCAGATGATTTACTCGAATAGGTCACGAGGAAATGAAACTTTCCACATATCTTAGAAGCTATACCAAGTTTTGCTACAACTCCTTGCCGATCGGAAATGTTTACGAAATTAACCGTTCGATAAAAATCGAATTTGCTCAAGGACCTTCGAAAGGCTCCTGCTCGAGCGAGGTTAGAATAATGTTCGACAGTTTTAATATGCGGCACGTGTTGCACACTTCTAATAAGCTACGCACAAACATTCACCGAGATACGTGTTACCTAAACATCTAACGGAAATCGAAGTCCAATCTAATCGACATCGCGCAGTCGGTATCGTAAATTACGAGTTAATCCATTATAACCGGTTTCGAGAATACGAGATTTTTCACCAAGTTATCGACCAGGCATTATCAGCTGACGATATTTCTCCGAGAATCCGTTGAAATTTACTAGCAGTATCTATCGTAACGTATTCTGCCTGCATGTTTCTAGCTATATCTATACGTTCGTGGAATGAATTTCACATCGCGCGTCAAATAAATTTTAACACGGTAATACGCGTGTATTGCTATAAAACGTTCAGATGTTTCGATCAAAGATGCTGCAGTTAATCTAATGGCGCCTATGATTTTACAAACATAATTAGCTAATTATGTGTTATTTTTTTTCTTATTAAAGCAGATTTATCTTGCTACAGTTCCATTCAATAATTTCTCTTAATATTCCACGACATTATTATCTTAAAAGTGTAATGCCCTTTCACCCCGGAGTCACTTCGTATCGGTAAGGTTAACCGCCTTATCCAATCGTTTGTGAAGGATTCTGTCTTTCCTTCTGGTTTTTAAAATGGCGATTACACTTACAGAAATGAAATATTATATTCTGGAATATCATTATTTTCGTCACCGTCGTTGAAACCGCGTAACGTAACCGTAGACTCTACCGATAATTCCTCTCTATCGATAAATTAGGAGAGCAGACAATTTACGCGATAGTGCAAGCAGCTAATATATTATGTCGTGATGTAATCGTATAATACGACGAGTATTTCCCCATTAGTCCTACTACCGTAATTTTATTTTCACTAGAGCGTCGTTAGCTTTTCTATGGAAGACATGTGTGTATATCTACCTCTTTATAAGACGGAAACGTCGACGTACATATGTACTTCCTTCTTTTTCTTTTCCCAATCTGTCTTGATCTCACGCTGACGAAGCGTCGAAGATAGCAATGGACTTAGTATTTCTTTTTTTTGCAAGACGCCGAGAGAACCCTTTCAAATGGGCGCATCTCAATCTCTTATGCAACCGTCAGTCGTATTTAGGAACTCGTCGCGGCGCAAACAAAAACATTCTGCTTCGCCCACACGTGCGCGTGCTGCGAGAAACGTGTTTTTTAACTGGGGAAAACATGGCCGTCCTGATTACGCGATAACAATGATATATTTAAGCAGTCTGTCAGAATAACGGAATTAGAAAAATTTCCATGAAACACGATAAGAAAACATCCAATCATCGAATACGATAAATAATATCTATCCTGAATTGTGGAATCATTTTGGTAAACGATGAAACAGCAGATGGTAATACACATTCGGTTTTACGTTCGTACAATGAAACTTTTCGATAGTTAATACCGTTAAAATATATACGAAATGATATACCGTTTTAAAGCGTCACGATGCATTTGGCAACGATACACGCATGGGCACCTGTCACGATAGAATACGATCTAAACTACTGTACTACGTGTACGTTTAACCTTATTTTCGTTTCTTCTTATTCGTTCTAACTCGCTTTAAGAAAAATATAAAAATGGTCTTGGTCTTCAACGTATTACTGACAATGTCTGTATTGCGTTTTTATTCTTCGCAGAATCCCGTGAAAATTCTTCGCGTTAAACATCGCAATTGAAATGCTGCGATTAATAAGATTCGTCGTTTGTTCGAAATATAAATTTTTGGACCATCGAGAACATGTTTGAAATGTATTTAATGGCCAGATATGTTTATTTCGCGGATTACGTTCACGTATGTGTAACACGGCACTTCTCGCAAGGGTCACAATTCTCCTCGTCGACTTTTTTTCTATCTCGCACTCACCTCTCTTTCTCACTGCGTGTCACCACTTGTCGTTGATACGTACACACCGTTGCAACTTCGATGGCAAATTTAACGATCCCCTTGTATGATTTATTTCTTCGATCTTGACCAATATCGTCGCACTCACACTCGCCGTCAGGCTGGGCCGCACGGCGCCGCGCCCGGACGAGGCCCGTACGCGTTATTAGACAGCATACGCTCGCTCATACTGGCAGTGACGCCATTTGCACGAATCCGCGTCTACGACGGACAACGGGCGACTCTACAGCGCAGTGCGCTGAGCGCACAGCTGACAGGGGCACGATTACTACGGCCAATCACGGAACAGTATCGAACGTAGTGCTGTCTTCCAATGAACGAATGAATGCGATCACTTTCAATCAAATTGCGTGCGAAATATTCAAATCATGAATAAACTTTGAAATACATATACTATCTTACCAAATACTAGATCAATAATATGCTAAACAGTGTAATAATAATATAGTGTTAATTACCATAACAGAATTAACATTTACAGTTTAGTAAAAAAATGAATATTACGACTTTATTTTTTACCGAATTATTCAACTTCACATTTGTTTTTCTCGTGTTAGTAGGGAAATAACGTAATAAGAATTCGTTGTACTTATTACGGAAAGCGATCTTCACATTTATACAATTTGGCGCGCTTTCTTGCAAATCAATTACAATAGTGTTAGTACATCGTGAATTCGCGCCAAATTTCCACCAATCGTAGTGTAGCACACATACTCACAATCGAACTAACGCGACCATTTTTAATTTCGTGTTTCCGTCGAGTTTAAAATGTGTCTCGATATTCTTTTTTGTTGATTATTAAAGTTTGTCGAAATAAACAGTTGTAGAAAACAATGTAAATCTAATTTGTGAATATTGTTTGATGAGGATTAACTGTTTTGGAGTTCATTTTCCATTTCCTAGGATTCCGTTCGTCCCTTTTCAAATCTCGGAGACCTGGCGATATTCACGACGAACAACTTTTCGAACTTAGCACACTTTCTTGAAATGTAAGAATGAATATAATACTGTAATATAAAACTTTTGTAACGCATAAGAATCTATAGAACTAAGAATATTTGTATGAAACATAAGAATATGTGAGCACTTCTACACTGTTGTATGCTTGATATATTTCAATGAATTCATTCCTAGTAATAAGAACTCCTTGCCTTCTTTCCTTGTACGTAATTCTAAATAATAAACTAAGGAAAGAGTCTTCAGTATTACATTTTTAAATGTTGTTCGATCGTTTCTCCGTTAAAATATAAAATATTAGAGGATCTTGGAACAGAAAATCGATATTAGGGTGTCACTAAATGTGTCTTGGAAAATTTTAATTATTTGCTGGAGTAATTAAAATATTAAAAATATTTATAATTTTAATTCTTACCGCTAATTATGCAACACTCTTATTCCATTCTGAATCGATAACGTTGGTATGATACCGAAATGAGGCTCTGAGTCTAAACAAAGCCACCAAAGTATGTGAGCCCACAAAGTACGCGAATTCGCTACTAAAGTTGTTAAATAAGCAACTAGTATTGCAACTAGTTGCATTTATATGTTACATAACTAAATAAATAAAGCAGAAAGTATAGATCATTTTATTTGCAATGCATTACCATGTGGCCATTTGCAAGTAATGCAAAAAAGGTTAGGTATCATTGATTCTACTGTCGATATCATTTTAAACTTGTTTAAAGGTATGTGAAACATTGATATCGAGAGCAATTAAAAAGTAATAATTCTGGTGCATTTGTTAACTTGTAAAAGTATTTAAAAATATGAATCAAGAATCGGTAAAAGGTTGCACATTATATGTCTGGTGGTTGTTCAAATTATTTGGCTTTCCAATAACTATTCCATGGTTGATATATCATTTATTCGATATCATGCAACAAAAACGAAAAAAAGCCATGCTCAGTGGAAAGGTAAACAACACTTTGGTTTAATTTTCCAAAATTAATATTGCATTTTTTTCAATTAAAGATGCCATGATTTTTATATTAAATTTAAATTTTAGGTTGTAATTATAACTGGGGCTAGTTCAGGATTAGGAGAAGCTTTAGCTCATATTTTTTACGATTGTGGTTGTAAAATTATTTTAATTTCTAGAAGAAAGGAAGAATTGGAAAGAGTAAAAAGTTCTTTGATAAATACTCATCACGTATGTTTGAACTCATTAAGGAATTTATTATTTACTTTCATTGTTTAGAAATGATGTATTCCATAATTCAATTTTTTTAGACAATACCTACTCATCCTCCAATAGTTTTACCATTGGATATAACTAATATTAATTCTCTGCAATCTGAAATGGGAAAAATAATTGAGATTCATGGAAAAGTTGATATTTTAATAAATAATGCTGGCATTTCTTATAGAGGGAAAGTTATTAATACTAATGTAGATGTGGATATAAAAGTTATGCTTACAAATTACTTTGCACAAATAGCATTAGCAAAAGGTAAATAGTGGAAAAAGTTTAATGAAAAATGTTGAATAGTTATTTAAAAATTTGTAATTTTATAGCTGTTCTTCCATTTATGGTGGAACGACAATCTGGTCACATAGTGTGTATAAGTAGTATACAAGGAAAAATTTCTATTCCATACAGGTTAATATAATTTGCATTTATTATTGTAATGTTACATAGATATATAAGATTTTTATATAAAAAAATTTAATATTATGATAACAGAACTGCATATGCTGCCTCTAAACATGCATTACAAGCATGGTGTGATGGTTGTAGAGCAGAACTAGCAAATCAAAATATAAAAGTTAGTGTTATAAGTCCTGGTTATGTACGAACTGCTCTTTCTCTTAATGCATTAACAGGAAGTGGGCAAGTTTATGGAGGTCAGTAAATTAGAAAATGTAGTTTTAATATAGCATAATTATTTACACAAATCGCATTTTATTGCAGTCATGGACAAAACAACACAAGAGGGTTACTCTCCAGAATATGTCGCAAATTGTACTTTAAAGGCAATATTAAAAGAGTATAAAGATGTATTAGTATCTCCAATAGCACCAAAGCTTGCAATATATTTACGAACTTTATGGCCATCACTTTATTTCTGGATAATGCAGAAGCGAGCAGAAAAGTTAGAAAAAGACGCGTAATTTTGTGTAAATTATTGTACGAAGCAGTGTTTTTATAGATTACTATTGTACTATATTCTACGATTTTATTATTTGTACAAAACAATTTATATTTTTATTTTTGTATTAATAACATTTTCTTTATATTACATATATTGTATAAACATTAAAATATGAATGATAATAAATTATGTAACTATATCAGCAGTAAGTGTACAATACAAAATTTCTTAACATAAATATTAAAAGGTAAATATTATTGGCGAATGAAAGAATCAAAATTATATCCAAACTATATTTTATTATGCCACTCAATAGTGGAATATGTTTACATTATATACAATTTAATACTACAAACATTTGAATGGAATTGAGATTGAAGCACTGTCAAACACATGTGTCATCCATTACTTGAAACGCGAAATATATTATAGCTTAATAATAGTGATTGCTAGTAATTACTGAAATTTAGTTTTGTAAATATAATAAAAATTCCAAAAGGATAAAAATATATAATTAAATGCGCCTAGATCAATTTCAAGCGAGTACAAAATAAATGCTTCAGAATGTTAAATAATGAAATCTTCTCAAGTTATAAATGACACAACAATGAACCTATCTAACATGCAGTTTATCAGAAATACGGTTTTACTTATTGATGTTTTATTATGTATCAATTCGTATATTAAAACTATACTGTTATATTATGACAAATATTTGGCTAGTAATTGAGACATTTACACTGTCGCACGTAATGTACATTAATTGGTATGAACTTTGTTGTCATGGCAGGATTATTAACACTTATTTATGCTTTTCCTATTTAGTAATAGTATTTCAAATTTTTATATAATATTTTCAATTATTGGAACACAAATTAATTGACATTAACTTTATTAAAAGTCAAATGTATTACACTCACATACTTTCTCACGCGACTATAATAAAGTATGTGCCTGTAATATGCATGAAACGATAGATAACATATAATAATAATAATAATATAAATTAATTAAATATCGAATTCACTGTTAAACGTATATCGTGTAAGAAAAAGATAAACTTTTAATTTTATTTCGAATATTCTGTGGTTGCTGATTTTATCTATATTTATTTTTTTAATATCAGAATTAAATAAATGAACATTATGAAACACAATTTCTTAAATAAACTTTTATATTTTTCTATATCTTAAAAAAGTGTATACAGTACTTAATGTCTTTAAAGTAGTAGAGTTTTTAGTTGTGAAAAGTGGCAACTTTTGTGCTATGGCTGTTATATAGCTACACATTAATTGTAAAAGATGTTACTTACTTTTTATAGTTCGAGATTGTCAAAACAAAAGTTTGAAATGCATTATATGTGATGTTATTCATTAAGTAGTTTTATAATGTATATACAAATACATGCAAGATTTTATTCGTACATTATTAGACTGAAAATTCTTTCAAAAAGTTTTTTCATACTAAATTACATAATGTGTGTTATTATACTTGCTTGCAGGAATGTTTGTGACATTTATCTTTGATATTCCATGTATTTGTGTATTGCATAATAAGAGTCTTATATAATCGATAGAAGTTCTGTGTATTATGTTAATTAACCCCTTCCCGTACTTTAACGTGTCTGACTCGTGATAAAGATTTTGGCCCAAACATGAATGTCACGAACCAGACTCGCGAACAGAAAGTTGGCCCAAACGCAAACATGACGAGCCAGGCTCGAGGACAGTAAATCACGATCGTGATTGAGTTTTAGTTCCTATCAGTACGCCACAAGAGTTGGTCACGATTCTTATAATCTTTATCGCTTGGGCCCGGATTTCGTCGAACTAAATGGCATGGGAAGGGGTTAACATGTATACCAAACAGCAAGATTAAAGGAATATACTCCTCAAAATATTTCAGATAGATATTACTTTTCTTAATGTGGGCTATACCTTTGGGTGAGAAAATCTAGGCAACATTTCCTTCAGTATATCATATGCAATGTATTCTATCTACTTTATTTACAATCTAAAAATATGTAATTCTAAATCCAACTTTCCAGGTGTATGGTTGTAATGTATAACTCTAAGAACACTTATATCAGTAGTTGTTTCACTGAAGTAATTATGTACGTGAATACGATTGCGTCTTTCATCGCATTAAAATTAACCATGACAATAGAATCAACAAGATGTAGATTATAGAGTAACAATGCAGAGCTTCGTGAAATATCAGATTTTATATTGAAAACGTTCTTAGAATAGGTTACTTTTAATCTGTCTTGTTAGATATTCCCCTCTCTATTGTAAAATCAGCATTCACCTGTGAGGTAGTGTCAAAACATAAAAAAAAATATAAACATAAATGAAAATAGATCCTTCGTGTTGCTCAACAATTCCCATTAATATATGTGAAAACATATCTGTAATTCTTTTTAATTCACAGATTTCTATGCTAGGCCTTATTACGATCATATATAATATATCGTATGGCCTACCTTACTGCTTTTTACAAGTTAGTTTCTTTCTTTTCAGACATTAATTGTTTCATTTAAATGCTTGGTAAACTCTCCAAGCACTAATGCTGACTGCTATAACTGTAATAGTTGTGTGAAGAATCCTTCTTCTTGTGTCATCTTTTCTTACAAGGAAGGTCGGAGATGATGGGCCTAAGACGGCTAACAACTCTACATGCGGTAGCTTACTTGTGTCAGTTTCAACTTGGTATTGGCAACAGGGATCAAACTGCCATGAAACAGTATAAAGTCCACAGGATATTACAGATATAAAACCTAGCGGACCACAGATATAGGGCCGATCACCCCAAATCAGACCTAAAAAATATGTAATAACACACATTAAATATATAATAATGCTTACAGATATGGAACATAAAATATAATCTCTATAAACCTGTAGTTATGGTTGCAAGACCCGACAGTGCTGCAGTCTTGTGAAGGCAGTTTCCTACTGCTATCCATCTGGAGGTCTCATCACCTAATTTAGATGGCTCGATAACGATTAAGCTACATTCAGATTCTAAGGCTCTTTCTAACTCATATTCGAATGTTTCATGTGCATTTTCATTATCATATACCTCCCTAATAATGGCGACATTCGAGGAATCATCCCTGTAAGAAATTAATATTTTTCGAAATAATTACTTTATTTAAATTATATGACTTATAGTTGTAATAAATATAATTATCATTGGTTTCTTTTTAATACCTCTAATACAATCATTTAGATATATTCAAATTATATTTAATATAAATTTACAATATATTTATATCGATTGTTTCGGTAATTTGAACCAATCTCTATGAACTTTATCATTCATTAATTCTTTTGTGTGTTATGTAAGATGTTGATTGGAACTAATCAGCGTCAGATTTGTTTGAATACAAATACTTTTGTAGCAGAGGTAACGGTATTATTCGCGTCGTTATATATTTAGATAAATAGAATTTTATCGAATTGTAGCAAAATCCGGTAGGTAATTAATATGTGTTTTAACATCGAAAATTTGTAGGAAAATTGACAGATGAAGTGAAAAATACACAAAAATAATGAATAAAAGGTTTAAAAATATTTTATCGCCGGCACAAAATTATTTTCGGTCCCGCCTTTACATGGAAATTTACGGTTTAGCAAAATTTTCATGGACATCTAGTAGAGATTATGAAAGATTAATTTCTCGAATGCGAGGGAATAGATGTGAGGTTATTTTATTTCAAAGTAAATATTATACCATCGTAATGAATTGCGTTGCCTACATTGGCGCTAGTTAGAGGTATTAGATTTCGTATATAAGCCGAAAATAATTTGGCCTACGAACCTGTCACCAGCTTCATCTACCATCTTTACAGTCAGTCTTCCAAACACTGGAACGTTGATCTGGATGAACCGGAAGAGAAATCTTGAACATCGAACCGGATGCAAAAATCAGCTGATTTTATTCAAGCCTTCGTTTGACTCAAGTCGTACTTCATATTCCGGAGTTTGTTCGAACGTGTTCCTTTGCAAAAACGCGCAATCTTTTTCTACAATTTTCTACAGAATTTAACTGAAATTGGAAGCGAACATGCGGTTAAATTATTCATCGTAAAGACATACGTAATTTCTAAATCTGTTTATACTTTTATATTTATATATTTTCTAGGATAAGTAACATTAAGATATGCTTTTTTCTATCGAGGATACTTTCTCAGAATTTTTGATATTCAAGATGGCTCAATTTTAATTCTAGCACTTTAACAGAATAAAAATATTAATTCCATTTGTTGTTTCATGTTTAAGGTTTTCTGGCAATTTCCATGGTACAGAATCTAAACGTAAGTTATCGGCATTTGCATTTGTTTCCCTTTTTACAAAAGGCGTCCATTAATACTCATACACTATTTTTGGTAATCAACCTTTCCTAATTTTCGACAAATTGTGCTAATCATGATTGTAACTATAATCAATTGAACGCATTAAGGTATAACATTTCATATTGCTCTTATTACTGATTCTTTGTCTGCTACTCTCATTTGTTTCAGATAGTTTCATCGAATATCCTTTGTTTATGTTATTAATCGGCCAGACTAAAACTATTTGGCAGTTTAATGCGTACGATTCGTTAAAAAGTATTTTGAAAAAGATCAACGATACATTTCATATTTATTATTTTTAGGGGGGTTGGGAGAGGAAAGCTGTCTCGCATTCGAGGTGATTTAGAAAAAATTGACGATAATTCGCACGAACGAAATACATAGTACGAAAAGGAAGACAAAAGAGAAACGAGAAATCGTTGGTTGAAATTCCTACGCCGGCGCTGTATTCCGTAGACAGAGGGAGGGACTAGTTTCATGGCGGCGTAGTAACGGGCCTTGGTATGCGCGCTGCGGTCGATCGAGCGAGAGTGAGCGCTGCGGACGGCACAGAGGCCGAGTTAAACGGGCCAGATCGCAGATGGACGTCCGCGGGAGCGTTCTGTCATGGAGAGCGCGACGCGACGTGTCGTAAGTGTGCTCGAGTGTCGTCGTCGTCGTCGTGGTCGTTGTCGTAGCCGTCGCGTGTGCAGCGTTTCGGGTCGCGTCGCGGGATTATCACAGTGACAGTCGACAGAGACAGGCGTGCGCGAGGATCGTGGTGCTCGTGGTGCTACTATCGATACATCGTGAACTGTGGCAGCCGAATAATTACATAGCAGCCACGTCCCTCTGGACCCGAGGCGGGTTCTCGAGAGACGGGATCCGTGATCTTCCATTGATCGAGCAACAGCACGCACGTGTGTTCGACGCTCGGTTCGTCAAACTAATCGATAGATCGGTGAACGGTGCTGTGACACGTTAACTACGGTGGGCGCGAGTGTGTCTTTAAATAGCTTGCTGTGATTCGTTGTGTCCGCGTACGATCCACGTGCTTTTTCGGAGCGGGCCACGGAGAAAAGATTGTCAACAAGAAGCACGGACCGTTGGCGCAGCCGAGCGAAGGAAAACGAGGACAGAGAACAGTCACCTGCTGTCGGATTCGGGACGAGCCTTTTCGCGAACGAATTGAGTCGATGTCGACAACGGTACGCGTGTGTTTCCTGCCCGCGTGCACATAAACGCATCGTAAACACGCGCGACTCGCTCTCGCGTATTCGTTACGAAATTCCGACCGGTCCTCGTTGTACGTTCTTCCTGTCGCATATGTAAACAAAAAGGGTGTCGGAACGCCGGGTGGAAGGTGTCTCGTTGATAATCGCGATACGCGATACTTTCGATAAATTGGAACGATCCTTTCGCTCGCGGTAGCTGAACCTCGATAGTCACGGTATACGCGAGGAGGAACGATTACTCGGAGCAGCGTGGTCCTCGCTCGGGACGGGAATACGAAATCCTGTTAACTCGATCCGTTAACGTAACGGGCACGAAGACTGGCCGGCGGAGTCGTCGACGGCGCGTACGAACCGTACGAAATCGCGCGTAAATAAAAGTTGTTGTTCCTGGGAGAAACGAAGGGTACCGGTCGCGCGAACAAAACAGCGGAAGAAGAGGAATCGGACACGCGGAGCGGGTTGCCGTGGCTCGTAACGGCGGACGAAGGGAGGGGGACAGGAGGCGTACGATGCTGTCCGGTCGTCGCGGTTAATTCGCACGTGTCGCGATGTCGGGCGGCACGGCGGCCGTCCGTGGCACCGGCGCCGAGTGCAGGAAGTTCGCGCCGAACATATTCAACAAGAGCAAGTGCAGCAGCTGCTTCAAGCAGAAGGAGGAGCACAGCGCGGAGGCTCTGGAATGCAACAGGGTGAGTTTTGCTTGATGGACTCTATCCGTCTCCTTCTTTCTTTCGCGGTGTGCGTGCATGCGTCTCTTTCTCTCTCTCTGTTTCTCTCTCGCGCCCTCTGGATGGATCGCGCCGTAGCTCTTTCTCTCTCGTACTCGCGCGCGTATATGTTCTACTGTCTCGCTCTCGCTCGCGTCGTGCGTACCCGGTCCATCGCGACCAAGCATTTTCTCTTTCTTGCTCGCCCTCGAATTCCTTGCCGCGTCCGTGATCGGGACCGGGTTGAGAAGGACGAAGGTCCTGTCGGGAGGGACGTCGAGGTTATGTAAGACGAGCGTGTACCGGTGAACGCGATTAGTATACGCCGGCGGAATGAATGGTTTCGAGTCGTCTTGCGATTCTGTGTTGTCTTTCTGTATTTTTTTTTCCTCTCGATCTGTATTACGTTGATACGGTTCTGTATCGCCATGGATCTTTTGCATAACGGTACCCCCGATGATAGATCACTGAATTAAAGGAAAGATATCGCGGGATTAACTGTTTATGACGTAAGCGAGCTCGACCATACCGACGCGTACGAACGACTTTACCTGCAGATTTTTCTTATCTTCTCTGACCGACGCACTTTTCGACGTGTAAACAAAGCAATGCACGGAGGTGTTTGGTTTTAATCGCAGAGTACCATACATCATTTTCTGACGCGTTAATTATTATTCGTATTTCGTTTACGATCGTAGTTTTTGTTTTAAAATATGTCGGAGTGCTAAATCATGGTTTTTATTCTTAGCTGTTTTAAACAAAGACGAAAGCCCATGCACCCTGCATTCATCGATTATAGGAAAAACGCTGGGCGAACTCGCATAGAACTTTATTATTTAAGTCGAGTTAATTTTTTTTTTCGTTGTTCGAACTCTCCGTTCGGAGTCGAATTGTAATTACTTGGTGATGTATAAATAAACACGCGAGGAGTAGCGCCACCACGACCGAGGACGTAAATACCAGGCGCAGCATAAGTTAGAGGATGTTGAAAAAAAGAAAAAGGAACGAGGAACTTTTATCGTGCTGTGTTTTTTCTTCCCCCGTGGTTTTTATTTACAACGGAGCCCCGGAGAGCCGGTCGATGAGCAAAATTGCCTCGTAAAAGGCGAGGGGTGGGGGGGCGTGTGGGTGGGGAGGGGAAGGAGGGTGGGTGCAAAATAAAAGCGTTAAAAATCAATTCACGCTGCGGAGCGTACGGTACTGCCGAATGGCAGCTCGGGAATGTATACGTATATGTTAATATCGTGGAACGGTTCTCCGTTTAAAGACCATCCGATAAGACGATATTGTCTTCTCGATCCTTTCGCCTTTTCCCTGATATCTCCACGATTATCGTTCCTTATCTCGTCTATCACGATACCTTTTTCGAGGGTTAACAAAGCTATTCAAAATGCTGTTAGAATCAATACGGATGCGCAACAAACGAACCAAAGGATGTTGCGTAAGCTCCGATCCTGTGCTTCCTTCTTCCCTTGAAATTGCATCCTCTCGCGTTACGCGTAGTCGCAAATAGACATAGTGGAGGCGTAGCGACCGACTCTGCTAGGAACATGTTCGTACATCTTTCAGACAACGACGAACTTATGGAATGGTGATTTTTGATCAGTTGTTTTTTAATATGTCTATATTTGAAAAATGAGATCGAGGGCCGCGTTGTAGGCGTTCTGGCATAATTCACTCGTTCGTAGAACACGGTAGAACGACGAACGGTTACGGTTCGTTTCGGATTTTTTCTTCCGGGGCCCAGGGCGAATTTCGTGCGCTCACAATGGGACACGTTCCCCGTCCTTTACGCCGTTGCAAATTTCGGAATGTCGGCAGCCTTGCGACCTGTTCTCGGTGCATTCCAGCCGTCTTCTCCCAGCACCCCTGCAACAGGCCCTTTCGAGAGTTGTTGGCTTGTCGGCTTTCGCCTGGATGCGGTATCTCTGTATCGGTTTATTCTCCTCCTCTCCCTCTCTGGCCCCATCTCCGGGGGCCACGTACCTCTCTTTCCCTCTCTTTATCCCCCTCTTGCTCAGCTGTCCCCCATATAACCGCAAATAACGAATGCATACGCAATCCAACCTTTCTTTGCTCCTCGGTCGCACGGTTCTTCGTCTCGTGGCTCGTAATTTGACGAGGAGAGCCTCGAATCGGAGGAATTTGACCTTTTGCAATCTTTCTCGCGGCCCTCTCCCCGAGATCGTTCGCTACGCTCGGACTATGTATCGTTTCTCGCGGAAGTTGCGGCCGGTTGCGTCTGGATAGCCGCGAAACGCGTGTTCCGCGGCGATTTAAGCCCGATTCACGGCGCCTCTGTGCACCGCGACCATCAACAGAAAATATTATAACAGAGGCGGTCGTAAAGCGGCTCGGGAGTTTTTTCGGTGGCTCGCAAACGATCTTTTTGTCAAATAAGCGATATTTTATTATATATAAAGAAAACAAACGCGCCGCTCTCGTCGGATTCCACCGGTTTTATTTTGGCGTGGCGTTTCCCCGAGCGTCATCAATTTCATTATTCCAACGGTCGACCGTTTGACCGACACGGGTAATCATCGAAACCGTGTCGAATAGTGTCACGCGGCGCGATAACGTTTTTACACAAAACTAATAGCATTATTAGGAGATCGAGTTTAATTCGCGCGAAACGCTTACGACCAATCCCGACATTTTTATTCCTCGAACGCGAGTATCGACGATTACACGGTTCGAACGATTCTTGAGCGTTATTTAAACGCCGCGAGCGTCGATCGCGGAGCGGAAACGCGGCCGCGATACGGACGCCTCGAGAGCCTATCTCGATTTCCTGCGCGAAACAGAACGGCGACTTAGAAAGTCCTCTCGGGGAACTTGAAATCATTAGGTAAACGTACCGGTTGGTTATTTAAGAATTGGACCATTCTGATGCAAACGCTGCTCTCTCGAGAATAGCGAATAAAAAACAACGCTGGCTACTTTTTGCACGAAAGCGACGAAGATGCAATTAGGAGACGTGTAATTTTGTTATCCTTTCGTACCGAATTCGAGATTGCTCACCCTTATCCCTCCTCCTAAGTATCTCGCTGACGTCTGTACTTACCATTCTCTTCCCGTTTATCTCCACTACTGTGTACTCGTTCCTTCGGAAATACTTCTACCTTTCTATTACTGTTCTTGCTCGAGTTTTTCCCTCTCGTCTCGCCTCGTATATATTCTTTAATCAACGACATTTTTGCTGGCAAATTATTGGGAGATAGTGGCCATTAAGGCGTGTCTCCCGAAGCAGTTGCAGATACTCGCGATGCCGCGCGGAAATCTTCGTTTTAATTCAGTTTCCTTATCCTCCAGCGGATAAAAACTCGTCGTTTTACGTTTTGATCGTTTGATATTCAATGTGACGCGTACCGTGAATTCGCGGTTCCGCGATAAAACCGATTACGCTCCAGGCGACAATAGTTCGCGATGATGTTACGGATATCTTCGGTTGCAAGTATAATTACGCGACGTCGATTCCTCTTTATCTTATCGTACGATCCCGAGCCACTGTGTGTAGCTTTTAAAGCACACGACACCTTCCGAATCCACAGAGTCGCTCAAGGTTAGCCATTAATTGTCGTTGCGAAACGGTATTAGTCACTGTGGCTGAGAATAGGCGAAACGAAACAATTGTCGCGGCTGTTCCTTTCGAATGGCAATTTAAACACATTTTACGAACACTTTTCTGAAATATTTAAATCGCTAACTCGTACACGTTCCCTGATATTTGTCTTGTTTTATATTATAAAATATATACAACGTGATGTTTTTTAGTTACTAAACAAAGAAATTTACTAAAATTTTATTTAAAGAGAGCAACTGCTAGTTGAGACACGAAAAAAACATTTTTAACGTAGAATTATGTGGATAACTTAAACATTTCTTTATCAGAGTTTAGTATCTATCATTTATCTTGGGTGCTGAAGTATTCTTGTTATATAATGTTAAACTATTGTTCAAGTTTATGTTGAGTGTATTGCAAAGAAACTCACGATATCGAATTTTTCTCATTTTAATCTCCTGAATCTCAATCGAGTTTCACAGTTCATATTTTTGTTACAACTTATTAACAAAGCATTTACGGATTTTTTGTTATATAACATTTTAGTCTTAGTTTTACTCATAGAACACACCGTTGAAGTGTGTACGGAAAAATACGAAACACTATGCATAATTGGGAAGGAAACTCGTGCAGATGCACTGATATTCGTCTCCTTGTTTCATAATTATAGTTCGTACGAACCAAAGAAAAAATTACAAATCTAAAAAATAGATATGTATTAGGCGTACAAATGAATAATCCAAATTATCTTAAGCAGTTATAAACTCAAGTTTAAGGTCAATAGATTTTCCCGCTCTATTGCGGTCGTATAGTGTTGACATATAGCTAGTTAGAACAAGAGATAGTTTAGCGAAAGGCCCAACATAACCTTGAAAAGTATTTAATTCAGTAGAATCGAAAATGGCAACAGATAAGGTGCCTATCCGACACTGCATTCTTTACGAATTCTAACAAGGGAAAAATGCTGCAAGGGCATGCGAATCGATTTGTTCCTTTCTCGGTGAAGGTGTTGTATCGTATGGTGTGTGCTCATTTTGGTTTAAGCGGTTTAAAAGCGACGATTTGAGTCTAATCGACAAACAACGCCCTGGAAGTCCTCGAAAGTGCGACAACGATGATTTGGAACAATTGCTTGTTGAGAATGCGGCACAAACGCAAGAAGAACTTGCAGAACAGTTAGGAGTAACCCGGCAAACGATTTCCAAACGCCTACGTGAGATGGGAAAGATCCAGAAAGAAGGAAAATGGGTTCCGCATGAACTCACTGCAACCAACAAAAATCAACGAGTGGCAGCGTGTCTTTCTCTTCTCAATAAGCAGCGCCGAAAGTCTTTCTTGCGGAAAATCGTTACGGGCGATGAGAAGTGGATGCTCTATGACAATTCGAAACGCAGAAAGTCACGGGTAAATCCCGGCAAAG